AGTCTTCACACGGGCGCAAAGGAAACATTCGACGTAATTGCCGAATGTATGGCACCACTCACTCTGGAATAGTCGCCTGCGGCGGAAGGAAAGCTAGTTTACTTGCTTACCTATTAGAGAAGGAACGATGATGTAGTAGTGTGAACACAAACACTACAAGAAAAATATCATACGACAACACGTTATTAACGTGTACAAGTTACGTATTGTGGAATTATATTTTGGACTTCTTAGATCTAAGTCCAAAACGATGAGTTAGCATTGGGTTTAGTCCTGGCATTTTTTATTTTAGATGTAAGTCCTTTGATATTTATTACTTTTTTTGTTGTGTCGATTTTACCTTTTGAAGTAAATAAGGAAAACACATTGAAAATCTAAATTTAATGCATTATTTCCTTGTAATTGAATTCTAGAATTTAAATTTTGAATTATTTCCTTGATAATATTCGTAATATATTGATAAAATATAATTTAATTAAAAAAAAATAAAGACCCACATATTATACCAATCGATCAGACAAGCACCCACATTAAATTATGTACTTGACATACAGGTAAATAGTGTTATTATTAGCAACGAAAAATACTTAGTGATAAATAGTGTTATTATTAAGAACATAAATTAGAAAACTAACTATAAGTCAGATACAAAAATAGACAAAATAAAATTGTATGTTACCTTAAGGTAAAGGTACATAAAATACTTAAGCTCGACGTTATCTTTAATGTGTAAATCAGAATGTTGTTCTAATACTCATGTTAGTTTGGTCTTTTTTTAGTTTCAATAATTTTGCTACTATCACATTGCGTATGCAGTGGTTGAGGTGGAGAATTATGAAACATGGTCTTGGTTTTATCAACTGTTGGCAGAGGACCTTGGAATCGAAAACAGCATAGGATATGTCTTTATCACAGACAAGCAAAAAGGCTTGATTTGCAGTAGATGATCATTTTTCAAATGCTGAGCACAGACACCGCCTAAAACACACTTAGAAGAAAAATTTTTGCTTGCTAGTCACAAAAAATTACTTTGTGCGACGAAATATTCAAAAAAATTTAATTTTTTAATTAAAATAAACTAATTTAATAGTTTGCGCGACGAAATCTTTTGTCGCGCAAGGTTTTTGACTTTTTGTTTTATTATTTCTCTGATATCAATTTAATTATTTTAATTTTTTTGAATTTTGAATTTTTAAATTTAATTTAATTGTATGATTTTATTACACATTGTTGAAAATATGAAAAAACATATATATATATATATATGCAATAGGCAATAGGCAATATGACATTAATGACTATTACCCGATTCAAGTCACAAGGGACAACATTGGAACAAAAAATGATTTTAAAAATAAAATAATATAAAGATTACATCATAAAATATTAAAATAAGAATGTAATTCTATGTCGCACAAAAGTCAAAGGACTTGGATTAAAGTCACCAAACCCGAGGATTAAACCCAACTCCTCAATAGGAATTTAGATCTATATCAACTTTTCTATTATACTTTCTACAACGTGCGGAGAGTACATATTGTGTTATACTGCTTTTAACAACATGAATTTAGTACGCGTTGTTGAAATGGAATATCAGGGATCTTTTGTAAGAGCCAAAAATAAGATATACAATGGCACATCAAGGCATATAAGGCGAAGACATAGCACTATTAGACAGTTGCTCAAAGATGGAATAATCTCATTAGATTATGTAAAGTCAAAGGAAAACATAGCTGATCCTTTGACAAAAGGCCTAACTAGAGAGCAAATTAAATATGCATCATTGGGTTTAATGCCAATTTCACAATGAGCTAACCCAATGGAACCCTAACCTAGTTGATTGGAGATCCCATGGTCTAGGTTCAATAGGCAAACTGGTTGGGAATGGCTCAAGGTATGAACACACTATTTACTCATTCCTATAACCAAAGTGTGCTGTATGCAGAAATTTTTAGGGTATGTTTAAACATTTAATGACATTAATATTTTGATATTCAAAAGAAGTATGGCAGAATACTTTTAATTAAAGTTACCTATATAGGAGTAAATGTGGGGTCGCATTTAAGAGAATTAAATGGCTACATTCTCTAAAGCTCCTATGAAACCAGGATTTGTTCAGGACCAAAATGAACACAACCGCATGAACTTAAGTGTGTATAGATTTAATGCATGTGTGGCGTATTGTCTCGGTTTACTACAAAATGATGAACAATTCAAGGTTGTGAATTCCACTGATTCATTAAGTAGATCTGATACGTCTACACTAGGGAAAGTTCAAGTCCAAAAGACACTTATCCTGATGTGTATTTTATCTAATTTCCTCTCCAGTTTTTGAGTATGCATATATTCTTTAAAAACAAAAAAAAAACAAATTTGCGTTTCAAATGTGGGGTATTATTGAAAATTTGAAAGCAAATGTCCCACATTGAAGAAAACAAAAGGTTCTGCATGCTTTATAAGCATGAAACTTTAACACCAATTAAATAAAATTGGTGGGCTGATGGGCTTGGTAGTGATGGCTATCTACATGGTTGGCTTGCTTGATTAATAATAATATTTAAATAATCAAGACTTGGGCCTTGGGCCTGGGGTCTCTGAAAAATAAAAGAAATACACCCAACCCGAAAATAAAAATAAAATAAAATAATTTATTTTTTGGATTTCTTTTAGCATAAGTTAAATTCAAACCAAAAGTCTTATCTGTCCGTTTGAATTTGAACAAGTATAACTGATACTAACTGCTATTTTGAAGGGGTGCAATTGTGTTATAAAACTAGGGCTGGCAATGGGTCGTGTCGTGTTGGGTTCGTGTCGTGTCAAGATAATAAATGTGTCAAGAATGCTCAACCCGATCACCCAACTCATTTAATAAACGTGTCGTGTCCGGTTCGGGTCGTCTTTTATCGTGCAGGTTTCGAGTCATGTAACGAGATCATAAATAATAACATGCATGTTACAAAACTCACAACTGAAAAAATTTAAATAAAAAACCAAGAGAGGAGAGAAAATATATGGAAAAGAAAGAAAAAAAAGATAGAGAGAGGAGAGAAGAGAGAAGAGAGAAGAGAGAAGAGAGAAGGAAAAGAAAAAAAAATAGAGAGAGAGAGAGAGAGAGAGAGAGAGAGAGAGAGAGAGAGAGAGAGAGAGAGAGATAAGAGACTAGAAGGGGTGTGGAGGTGGTCCTCAAGGACATGAATGGTGATGACATTGTCACCAAGCTCTGCCACTTTGACGAGTGCCCACATCAACCGCTCATTGCTGCGTGAATCTAACTTCACCCCCACCACTACCGTCTTCCCACCACCACCACCACTGCCTTCTCCGGTCAACAACTTCATTTCACCATCAGCTGCCTTTAGTCCGACATCGTTTCATTTTTGGAGAAATCAGTCACTCCAATGGCACTGGAGTTTGTTTGTTTGTCTATATTGGAAATTGGGATTTTTTTTTTGAACTATTTCATACTACTTAAAAATTACATAATGTATGAGAGAGAGAAGCACACTAACGTTTGCCAGAATTCAAGGATTCGATGCTATACCCTTGGGTTATAGATAGTTGAATCATGGGAGAAAGATGCATGTTGAACTTCAAGCACTGAGAAGAGGCGAAATTCTGTCTTTAGGACATTGCGAATACTCAAGTCTCTATCTTCAATAAAAGTCAGTATTTTGTACTTAGTTTTTACTTACACATTTATACAATTTTCGTAATTTGCTACTGTCTACATTTTAGAATTGTGTATTAATATAGTGATCCTATAATATATGATATTTACTGATGCAGGGACGAATGTAGATAATGGGCTGTAGCCCATGCCAAAAAAATTTTGACTTTTAAATGTGATGTAGTCTTAGCCCCAAAAAAAAATATCTATAACTAAATAAAAGAGATAGCCCACTTGCATTCACAGCAAAGAATCAAACCTAATTGAGTGGTAAAAAAAAAAAGAAGACAAAAAGCATCAGTTTGGGTGAAAAAGCAAAGAGCCGACAAAGCTAGAGGCACCCCACCAACCAGCGATTGGTCCAGCTCCATGTCAACAAATTAACAAGTCAATTTCTCCTCTATTTGTTTGTTGAGGTAATTTTCTTCGCTTAGTTCTTGTTATTAGGGAGTTATAATTATATTTTTTCTATAAACAACATTTAGGGATTTTTGAATTTGGGGATTTTTGAATATGCTTACATACATCATTCATGTTATAGGTTATACTTATAATGTCAGATCATCATCGAAATCCTAAGAGAGTGAAGAATATTTTGCATTTTTTTAAGAAAAAAAATGAAGGATTATCAAGTAGCATGCCTTCTAGCCCTTCTTCATCTTCTCCGGTAGCATGCCTTCTAGCCCTTCTTCATCTTCTCCAATTTGTGGGGAGAAACCTCCTTCTGAATTTCAAAGAGTTGAGTCTCAAAGAGTCCATTGTAATCAACAAGTTGATACTAATTCTCTTGAACGTGATCCTGGATTACGTCATCAAATATGCACATATTCAATTAATGAACGTGATAACGTTCGAAGAGCATATATTCTCTTAGGACCATGTTTAGTTTATATCTTATGTACTAGATGCATTTTGAGGGTAAGGCTCAATATGTCCCCCCTGACTATGTGTATAATTTTTGTTATCAATGAAATTCACTCATACCGTCGAGTTTGTTTATAAGGGAAATCCAGCCCAGTGTATTTTGAAATCCTGGATTCGTCCCTGATTGCTCCCTTTACAATTTTCTTCCTTTGTACTCTTTTGTTCGTTTCATCTATTAAACTTCTAAATCCTTTGAGCGCTACACGTGAGAAAGAGGAGTCACAACAAACAATACAAGAAAGTGGTGCAATCACCACAAGATGTTACAAAAAATCGGTTGAGACTTACAACCACAATTGAGTCCATTAGGTATCTAGCAAATCAAGGATTGGCTTTTAGAGGTAATGATGAATCTTGTGAGTCATCAAATAGGGGAAATTTCATTGAGTTGATAAAAGCTTTTTCAAGAATGAATGTAGAAGTTGAAAAAGTCATCTTAGAGAATGCTCCTGGAAATGCGAAATATATTGCATCAACGATACAAAAGGAGATCCTAAATATTATTGCTAAAAAAGTAAGGAAGAAGATTCGTGAGGAAGTTGGAGAGGATGGAAAATTTTGTATTCTTGTTGATGAAGCACTTGATGAATCTAAAAAGGAACAAATGGCTATTATCCTAAGATTTGTTGGTCGTGATGGGTTTATTCGAGAACGGTTTTTTGAGATTATAAGTGTTCATGATACTAATTCCTCAACTCTTAAAACTGAGATTTGTAAAGTGCTTGGTAAACACACTCTTTTAGTTAAGAATATGCGTGGCCAAGGATATGATGGTGCTAGCAATATGCGTGGTCAATGGAATGGCTTACAAGCATTATTTCTCAACGATTGTCCATATGCATATTATATACATTGTTTTGCTCATCGCCTCCAACTAGCATTAAATGCTGCAGCTAAAGAGGTAGGAGTTATTTGGAGATTTTTTTCAATGTTGAATAATATTGTGAATTTTGTTGGTGCTTCTGCTAAACGTCATTCTGAGTTGAAATTATCTCGAAAAGCTGAAATTCAAGGGTTGTTAGAGGCTGGAAAACTTGGAATGGGTACAGGGGCTAATCAAATTCGTTGTTTGCAACGACCTGGAACTACTCGTTGGGGGTCTCATTTTAGTTCTATTAGAAGTTTGATTGATTTATTTGGTGCAACCAAGACACTTCTTGATGAAATAGGTCGTAATGGACCTACATCACAATTTCGTGGGGAAGCTGAGAGTATTTATATTGCCATGATGTCGTTTGAATTTGTTTTTTCCTTACTTTTGTTGGAAAAAACTATGGGATTCACAGATTTTCTTTGTCATTCACTTCAAAGCCAATCTCAAGACATTGTAAATGCTTTGAATCTTGTTTCAAATACAAAAATGAAGCTTGATGAGTTGAGAAATAATGGTTGGGATGATTTTATCAAAAGTGTGCTATCATTTTGTGAACAACATGACATTAGTGTACCTGATATGAGTGCTCGTCATAAAATGGGTACAGGTCGTTCTTGCCAACAACAGGATTCTATTACAGTTAAGCATTATTTCCGTATTGATGTATTTAATGATGTAATTGATTTTCAGTTGGTAGAGTTAAATACTAGATTTCCAGAGCAAACTGTGGAACTTCTTTATCTTACCTCAACATTGGATCCCCGTGATTCATTTAAGCAGTTTAACATTGGTGATATATGCAATCTTGCTGGGAAGTTTTATCCTCAGATTTTACTACCACTGAGTCACAGGCTTTACATCAACAGTTGGGATTTTATAAGACTGATATGGATCGTCTTCCAGCCTTCAAGAATCTTGATTCTATTCCTGAATTACTTAAGTGCTTACTTGAAACAGGGTTAGCACACACCTACCACTTGATTGATAGATTGATTCGTTTAGTGTTAACTCTTCCAGTTTCTACAGCAACAACAGAACGTGCATTTTCTTCTATGAGACTTATCAAAAATCGACTTCGAAACAAGATAGAGGATGAGTTTCTTGCTGATTGTATGATACTTCACATTGAAAAAGAATTTGCTGATAGTATTGATAACGAATCAATAATTAGTGATTTCAACTCTTTGAAGCCTAGAAGGGTGCAACTCAAATAGTTGTATTATGTATTTGCATTGCATATTTATTTATTATTGTCTTTTTTTATTAGTTTATATCTTATGTACTAGATGCATTTTGAGGGTAAGGCTCAATATGTCCCCCCTGACTAGGTGTATAATTTTTATTATCAATGAAATTCACTCGTACCGTCGAGTTTGTTTATAAGGGAAATCCAGCCCAGTGTATTTTGAAATCCTGGATTCGTCCCTGTACTGATGTCTCCTAACACCCAACGCCAGGATCGTCGGAATGGTGAAGGCAAGAATATTGTGGTTTTTGCCATGGTGACGTTTAGATGTCGTTGAAGCTTCAAGCAATGTTGGTGGTCTTTCTGCAAAGTTGACGAAGAAGAAGTACTGATTGTTGATGAAGCGCTGCATGATGACGACATTAGAACAGTGAGGATTGATGACATTCATCCCAATGTAAATAGGATAAGTTGCCATGTACTAGCTATTTTGGTGTTTCCTCAGGCAGAATATATATATGTAATGTGGAGAAGGAAGAGCTTTGGTTAGTTTAGCATTAGAGCTCTTCAGCCAAGGAGATGAGCAAGAACAGTTTATAGGGGTTTTAGAGAATGGGAGACACGGAAACAGCGCCCACAGCGTTGCCCTCATTTCTTACTTTATTTTTTAAGCGCCCGCGGCGTTCCACTCATTGATATTAGGTAAAAAAGTTAAAAATTAAGGATTTACCTTCTGGGTCTTGTAGTCAATGCCTTCAAATTCAACATCTAAGTTAGATATAAGATTGGGTTAGAAAATTGAAAACAAAGAGGCCCATTTTCTTTTGTCCAAAAGCTTATTTCAAAATAAATTGTGAATTTTCTTGTCGAAGTGACCTAGAAAAAAAAAAATTTTGGAGCCCCTAAATATTTGGGGGCCTTGTGCCATTGCCCAACTTGCACAAGCTATGGACCGGGCCTGTTTGTGATATATTAAGCTCAAAAGATCTAACCTAATTTCTTCCATTAAACGCACTAAACGACACCATTACCACGTCTATTTTTTTTTTTCCTTATGCTATGCCTCCTCTGGTCCCTTTGAATGAAACGATGAGTTTCATTCAAGTTTAACTAGGCCTGGACGCGCAATGCAAAATAAATTTTTCAAAGTATTTGTTGTAGATTAAATAATGATCTTGTGCATTGTTTATGTTTTAAAGGTCAAATTAAGATACTACTAAAATCATTTCATTACTTGCTTCTTTGTGTCTCTAATCCTCCATATCCCAAATATGCACTGCAACTGAGCGTTGACCACTTTTATATTCTATCTCTCAGCCTTATTTTGAGTGCTTATATGGATTGAGGGTTAAAATTTAGCTAAAAACACTAGAAAGCTATTTTAGGAGCTCCTTATAAAATTTCAACTCCAACCATACTCCCTAGTTTAGGCAATCATAAATGAATTATTTCTTTTTTTTAGTTTAGCATAAATGCTTCCTGTTCATATAAAAAAAAAAATAGTTAGCATTAAATAAATACTTAAAATAGCATTAAAGTAAAACAATATTTAATTATAGGGAGCCACTGAGAGTCATTTCACTCTCCTCCGATTTAGGAGTTCCTAAAGGTCTCCCTATTTTAGAAATTCGATAGGGAGCATGGTTGGAGTTGGTTTTCTCACTTCCTCCCTAAATTTTATATAAAGAGGTGATTTAGAGAATCCATTATGGATGCTCTTATGTAGCTAACCGAAAATTTTATGTACTATTAACCGTATTAATACGAGTGAAATTGCTACTAAGTAGAAACGTTCCTTACATAACCATTCCAAACATGTGATTTCATAATTAACCTCAATGATCTCCGGTCATATGAGAGGTTGAGATAAGAGTAAGAGAAAAAGTTAGTGCCTAGTGCTTTTGTATTGTAGTCCTACTATATATATTGTCTACTGCTATATATGTAACATTAGTCCATCCATATTCATTTTTGTCATACCTCTATTAGCATGAGAGTCATATATATGAAACCCAACGTTGCCATGCTTGTGTACATTAGAAAATTTTCAGTTTCTTGTTCTCACTTCTCTCCCAATTTCAATCATTTCCTTCTAGAATTCTAAGATAATACTTCAATTTTGCTATTCATAGATTCCAAGACTTGTATTTTAAAATTGATTTTTCAAGAATTCTTTAGCAAACTCAATTGAGTCGGGGCATATAAACCATATTTCAATCTCTACTATACCATATCTTTGTAGTGACTCTTTCCTCCTTTGATTGGGTCGTTATAAAGCAATTGAAACATCAATGGGCCGCCACTTGCTTCAACTAATCTAGTGCTTCATTAATTTTTCCATAGCAAATTAATAGTTTTGTGTGTGTGTTTGTTTTTTGGAGTAATGCTATTTAGACACACAAGATTGACCACATTAGCCGACCACCTTATGTGGCAGTTGATGTGGCATGCTATGTCAATTAATGAACTCTACCATGTGGATTATATTTTTATTTCACAAATCAACAATCTTGAAAAACTAAAACAATAAAAGTAAATTAACCCTAGCGTCCCTCAGACTGTAGCCTCTCATTCCTTCATTTCCTCACGTCTCCAGCCCTCCATTCCTCCATCAAAAGGAGTTGCCATTTCCAATTGTCTTTGTATTTATAATTGGAAAATAGAAGGCCCTGAAATTGCTAGTTGTCTTTGTGAGGCCACCAAGATTGGCTTCAAGTGCTCCTATGATGGCAAATGACTGATTCAAATGGGTTTTGTCTGTTCCCCTTGAAGGAGGAGGGGTGGCCTTGAAATTGGGTGGGAATGATTTCTACCTCTAGAATTAATTGTCTATATACCTCCTATATCAAATGTGTTCCTTTTTTAATAATTAATTTCTTTTTTTTTATTTTAATAGAGGAGGAAAGGGATGAGTAGATTTGATGGAAGAAGGAAGGGTTGGAGACGTGAGGAAGAGTTCAAAACCAACGAGGCTACATACAGACCTAGGACACTAGGGTTAACTCTAAATTTATTGTTCTGGTTTTTCCAGATTATTTATATGAGAAATAATAAATAAAGAATTTTTTGAGTCGACATTGCAGTACATTAATTGATATGGTATGACCACATCAACTGCCAAATAAGGTGGTCGGCTAATGTGGTCTATCTTATGTGTCTAAATAGCATTACTCTTAATGGGCTTGGCAAAAAACTACAGGGTTGGAAAGGGCGTCTGCTAAGTGGAGCGGAAAAAGAAATTCTCATTAAAGTGGTGGCCCAAGCCATCTTCTTGTATACCATGAGTTGTTACCTTTTTCCCAAGTACATATGTGATGAGCTGAACAGAATGGTGGCCCAATTTTGGTGGAGTAGGCAAGAAGAGAAGAAAATTCATTGGTTGGCTTATCGCATGTTGTGTGCACCGAAGGAGGCGGGAGGCCTAGGATTCCGAGATCTCTACACATTTAATCTGGCCATGCTTGCTAAACAAGGATGACGTCTCATCCAGAATGCTGATTCCTTAACTTCTCAACTCCTCTGAGCTAAGTATTTTCCGAACAGTTCCTTTTTAGAGTGCCCTGTGAGCCCTCACACATCTTATGTGTGGAAGAGTATCTGTGAAGCTCGCCGAGTTATTTCCCATGGTTCCAGATGGCAGGTAGGGAACGGCGACACCATTGATGTGTGGCAAGACCCTTGGATTTCGTTACCCAATAGTTTTCGAGTCTTCTCTCCCAAGCCTGAAGAGTGCCAAGTCTCGAAGGTGGCTGGCCTCATCCTCCATAATCCGAGGACCTAGGATGTGCCCCTTCTCCAGGGCCTCTTTTGTCAGGAAGAAGTGGACTTAATCCGTGTTATCCCTCTGAGCCTACAGACTGCTTGCTTTGGCATTATGATTATATAAAAATAAAATAAAAATAAAAAGGGTCTATTTAATTATAGTGAAAAGTGCATACCACGTGGCTCGTAGCATCTGTGCTCCTTCGGGGGGCTCCACCTCCTCCAATACAGCGGCGGCGAAGGTGTGGAATTCAATCTGGCAAGCTTAAGTTCCTGCCAAAGTTCGTGTTTTTTTGGTGGAAAGCTTGTTCTGGAATCCTACTCACTAGAGCCAATTTGTTGTGCAAGAAAATCGAAGTAGAGGTCGAATGTGTTTTGTGCGAGGTTGCGACAGAGTCAACAACCCATGTCTTGCATGATTGCCCCTATGCTGCTCGGGTTTGGTTCAATTCGCCTTTGGGTGGACATGAGGGCATCAATGCAAGCCAATCTATGTGGGAGTGGGTACAACATGGTATACAGGTACTCTCAAAACCAGACTTTGGCACTTTTATGATGATAGAGTGGGCTATTTGGGATGGAAGTAACAACCTCCTATGGCACAACCGCCGCACAAGACCAGAGAAATTTAGCATGGGGGCGTTGATACGTCTTCAGGATTTTCTAAGACCTAATGAAAGCTCGAAGGGGAACCCCACAAGTACCAAGTCCACCGCCCCTACACGTTGGCAACGGCCGTCGCAAGGCTTACTCAAAGCCAATGTTGATGGAGCATGGAGGGCAGATAGTACCGAGGGAGGGGTCGGAATCGTGGTGTGGGACAGCAGTGGCTCTTTCGTTACTGGTTGCGCGTTGAAGGTTGACAAAGTTTTTTCTGCTGTATAGGTGGAAGCTCTTGTAGCTAGAGCTGGAACTATTTTTGCCAAGGAAAGGGGTCCTACAAATATTGTTTTTTTAGAGTGATGCCCTCGAGATCAAGATGTCCCTCAAGAATTCTTCTATTGCCAAGTCTATCATTGGTGGAAGATACCAAAAGGCTTTTGTCACAGATCACTAGGGAAGGTTTTACCCACATGTCACACAGCAAATAGCATGGCTCACCGTATGGCTTGATTCGCCTTGCATATTGGGGCTTCTCTAACTTGGTTTGAAGGACCCCCAGACTTTATTTCTGATGTTTTGTTTGAGGGTTGTAACTGTTAATTTGTACGGGCAGCTTAATAGGGGGATGGATTTTCTCTACTCTGTTCGTTTATGCATAGAGAA